CTCTTGGGGCCCCCCTTTTTTTAAAAAAAAAAAAAAAAAAAAAGAGGCAAATTTGGCAACATACTGCTACTTCTTCCTACTGTTCTACTGTGACCTATTTCTTTACCCATCCCCAGCTTTATACTGTTGGTTCTTTTGTCAGGCCTTTGGATTAAGAGGTGAGTGTTGTCCTCTGCTACTGCTCCCCAAGTGGGTTCAGCAGCTCTGCTCCTGGTTTTGCATTCTGCCCAGAGGTATCCATGAGAGGAGAGGAAAAACAGCCATGGGAAAGTGAGGCATCATACTATTTTAAAGACAAGGTATCTGAAGCTTTTTCAGGCCCTGATATGACTCGGCACCTATGCACATGCTTCATTTCAGGAGCAGCTTCATTGATTTCACTTGCATGCCTGAGGTTACGCTCATGATTAAGTCTTCTGACTTTTCCAGGTTACCTTCTGATTAAGTCCTCTCCTCATCAGTGGTGCTCTGGCCACTCATCTCATAGGGAACCTCTACAGAAGGCTACAGGGGGCTCCACAGAAGGCTCTAAGGTGTGCTGACTTTTCCAGGTTACCTTCTGATTAAGTCCTCTCCTCATCAGTGGTGCTCTGGCCACTCATCTCATAGGGAACCTCTACAGAAGGCCCTTAAGGTGTGTATGCACTGGTGTTCGGATCCATGTTTGCTTGCATCTTAATGGTGTCATGGGCTGTAGTACAGTACAAAAATCGGGTGCTGCATTGCCAGCATCCATGAAACTCTCTGGAATGGAGAGTTCTGAGGCCAGAGTGAGTGTTAAAACAATAATGTTAATATTTTTTGCAGAAAGAATCTTCACAGAGAAAAAAAAGAAAATTGTGCTTTTTGGTGTTTAATTGATAGGGCTTTTTGGCAAGCTAGATGAGAAATCACTTAAATTAGGAGTTGTGAGAGCCAATTACTGCCAGATATTCTTCTGTTCTGTGCCTCCAGCAGCACTGCAGTGATACTAGTACAGGCAGTGAGTTCTGCAGACCATTACTAATACAAGTAA